CGAGATCACATTCAATGATGTGATACGGATAGCCATGTTGCGCTTTTGGGTAATCGTTCCAATCTAGGGAGTACGCGGAGGCGAATATGAGAGTCATTTCAGAACTACAGTGAATCACGTGTGCACGCACAAATGGGTGTGCGAAATTTGCGAGCTGAATTGGATGATGTCACAATCTTTGAAGGCGAGGTGGACTGTGCCTTTGCAGACCATGACAGCGAACCAATGGGAGAAGTTAGTAAGCGAAGAAAATACTAGACATGCGAAATGATGCAATTTCAATAACAGTTCTTTTGGGAGAAAACCATTCAGATGCTTGTAAGAATTTGTACAATACTTTTAAAATTAGATCTCTTAAATTTTCTGATTACTCGTTATAGTAGCTCAAAAAAGTTGGAGGTTAACTTGGAGCAAAATCAGGCGCAAGCAGTACTTGTTCTCTGTAGATTTGGGCACCCAGCCCGATCTGGGGGCAATTTATGGAGGGATCTAAGAAAATTTTTACCTGAGAGACTACGCACGTTCTGACATTCAATGTTCGGAAGTTCAATACAACATAAATCAACCATACGAACATAGGTTTGATACTCTAGAGACAAGACAACAAAAGTGAGTGATTTTAACTCAGGAGCCTTGCAAAAAGTGATGGTGGTTTTTGTCATACCATGGTAACTGAAAAGGAAGAGATTTGCTTGATTTAAAGCAACAATCATTGGAAGCATTGCTTTTTTTCCAAACAGTAGTCAATGGAAAATGTTACAAAAATGACATAACACTTACTTCAAAAATTCCATTTAATTTTCTTCGTTTCCTTTCCTTTTCGTGCGTATAACTCCACCGAATTGAGGAGCTAGAGTAGTTTTTTACGTAAAATGAGACTGTGAACAATATTGACATATTCAACGGTTCCAAAGTGTTTGAGGCCACTTATATCCTACAGCGTCATTTAAATTTTGACTTCTCGCGCCTTAATTGCATACATTTTCCTCTTTGGTACCAACCAAAAGCGGAAAACGGGGGAAACGCGGAGAAAAGCGTACATAACATACATACATAACATACATAAATAACATATATAATATACATAACATATATAACATACATAACATGTATGATATACATAACATATATAACATATATAACATACATACATACATACATGCATACATACATATACATATACATATACATATACATATACATATACATATACATATACATATACATATACA